TTCATGCGTGAATGGAGGACACAGTAGCTCAAGGCAGGTACGCGAGGGAAAAGGCAGCTCTCAGGGTAGGAAGCGGCGGCTGGTTGTCGGCGGACGAAGCTGGCTGTCGGAGGCTCCTGGTGGCAGCGACCTGTGCCAACGCCTGTGCCTCTCTGTTTGACGAATAAATTGACTAGTGGGTGGGCAGGGGAATGCACAGAACCCTGGAGCTTTTGTGATGTCGTGTGCTCGCGGTGAGGTCACAGCTCGAGCTGCCTCCTTCCTGAACGGTCCAGTCGGGCAGAGAGGAGTTGTAGCGACGAACAGGACAGGGATTGTGGCCGGGGGGGGGGGGGTGGAATCCCATTATGCCGTGTCACTCTGTCGGTTCGTGCCTAGAAGTAGAGTGAAAGGCACGCTGTGACTACCGCTGGCATCCCCTGATTGCAACCCACCGTAACCATCATGTTAGCGGACGTGACCCCCACTGGCTGTCTCGGTGGACCCTTGCAGGACAGTGAAGGGGCTGCAGCTGCCAACAGCCGTCTTCAGACGTCAGTTGAGTTCCAAAAATTTCCAGTGCTTGGAAGCTTTCCTCCACGGATCATCAGGTCACCAGTTCGTGATCCCCTACGCCCGAGCTCGTTGCGCCGCCCAATTCACCGGGGAAACAACATCCCTCAGCACGCCTTCCAACCAGGGCCAACGGCATCCTCAGTCTTCGAACCCCCGAGCGAGCGACCTGCGACCGTCAAGCCTGACAGCAACGTCCCTCCAACCCGACAAAACCACACACCATGTACCGACATGCGAGCAGGCCGCTGCTCGGCCTCGGCCGCCCCAGCCTGGCGGTCATGTCCAGACAACAGGCCCGCACCTACGCAAAGAAGGATAGGCCAAACGCCAACAGAGCCGCCCTGCGGGCGAACCAGAGGGTCAACGACACGGCCGCTACCGCCCAGTCCGGCAACATGATGAAGCAGCAAAAGGAGGCCATCGAGCAGGCCACGACGCGCTACGCCGGCAGCCTCTTCCCAGGTATGTGCTGGGCTGACCAAGGAGTGAGAGAGAGAGAGAGAGAGAGAGAGAGAGAGAGAGAGAGAGAGAGAGAGAGAGAGAGAGAGAGAGAGAGAGACAGAGACAGAAGTACTCTTGCTAACACGTCTCCCGCCAGGCACCTTCATCCCCGTCCCCCTCTCCCGCGCCCCCCGCGCCCCGTCCGCCTTTCTCAGCTACCAGTACACCCGCATCAAGTCCTTCGCGAGCGACTTCCTGAGCACCTTTGTCCTGCGCTTCCAGTCCCGCCCGAGCTTCTTCAAGAAGCCCCGCGCCGACCTGTACCGCGCCCGCGCCCGCGCCGCCGGCACGGCGCTGCACGCCCGCCTCGGCCACGCCCTCGCCGCCGGCGACCGCGAGGCCCTGCGCGCCATCTGCACGCCCGCCCTCTACGAGACGCTCGGCGCCACCCTCGACAAGCGCAGCCGTCACGAGCGCACCACCTGGGACGTCGTCGCCACCCACCGCACCTGGCTCGCCGCCCACCGCGTCGGCGTCCTGCCGCCCCCCCTGCCCAAGGACACCATGATCCAGCAGGCCGTCGTCGCCGTCGACTCGACCCAGCGCCTCGACAGGGTCGACGTGCGCACCGGCCTCAGCATCCCCGGCGCCGCCCGCGTTCAGAGGCGCACCGAGTACCTCGCCATCACACGGAGGTGGAACGGCTCTACGTACGTGGCCGGCGATTGGAAGGTCATCGGGAACGCCAGCGAGACGACGTCCGAGTCTTGGGCCCAGGAGCAGGCCAGGATTGCTGCCATGGAGGCGGAAAATGCAGACAAGAAACTCAGGGAGGCAGGCATTCAATAGGTGGAGGCAGGTTCCAAGTGGCAAGAAAAGCATAGACAGGAAGGGAGCATGTAACAAATGTATACTATGTGCAATTACTCGATGATCTAATTTAGATATATAGGAGTCGGTGGTTTGCTCCACGGCCGAATCCAGACTAGGGAGGCTTTTCTCCCGCTCCTCTCATCGAAACAACATCCTCCCGCGAAGAGGTATGGCTGAGCATTCTTGACCAGCTGCAGCAAGTGTTCTTGGCAGGCAGAATTGGAGCCGACTTGCGTACATGTCAGCTTTGAAGCTGGTTGATCTGCCTGAATAACACTTGTGGTCGTCAGATGACGCTCAGAAGAACTTGCCGGCAGGCTTGGATCCGGCCTGCTCGTGCTCCGAGCTGACGTCGGCAATGTCGTCGCCAGAGCCGCTCTGGCGGTAGTGAGCCTGTTCCTCGGGGCTGGGGCCGAAGCCGGGGCCGTACGGCCGGTCAAGGGCGTCGAAGCGGCGGCCACTACGCTTGGCCTGGATGTATTGGAATGACAGGCGGCACGCAAGGGCGGCAAAGCCCCACACGATGCTACCGACAGGAGCCGCCACAAAGACGCCGAAGACGCTCCAGTCATCAGCGTAGAGACCTTCAGAGATGAGGAGAAGGTTGCCGGCACGATGAACGTCTCCATCGTAGTAGATGAC